TTTTTTCTCGTACATAATCGATAAAATAAATCTGTAAAAAGATTTAAGTAGCTGCAAGAATTTTTGGACCAGAGATGATGCATACAAAAATTTCATCAAAATTTCTGAGATTAAGATCTCCAAAAAATCCGAATCATAGATCGAGTTCAAAGATTCAAGCAAAAACTTTCTATAAATAACTCGGTGAGACAGAACAGACATTTTCGACAAAATGAGACGTCACTCAGCTCTCCGTCACACTTTTTCATCAGTCTACATTCAACTTGTGAAAGGCTTTAGAGACGTTTTTCCCTAGTCCTTGCTGATTTTGCTAGTTTTGCCAAGCTGGGATCTTTCATCTTGTTGCACAGATCCGATTGAGCTCCGATATATAGCACAGATAGAACATCGAAAAAGAAAATCGGTGTATTTTGCCCAGAATTTTCTGAGATGTTTTTATATGGGTTTTCTGGAAAACTCTAGTTTTCATCCAGTCACAGTACGACCTCCCGAAAAAATGACCGACTTTCTTTGCGTGGTTTTCAGCGTTTTTCGTATATCTGGAGAAGGAAAGCATATTTTTCGAAAAGAAAAAAAGAAACCTGAGATAGGGTCTAAAGTATCTGTGGTAAAATTTTGAGCTTGATCGGACCATTTTTTCGGGAGGTTGTAATGTGACTGGATGAAAACTAGAGTTTTCCAGAAAACCCATATAAAAACACCTCAGAAAATTTTGGACAAAATACATCGGTTTTCTTTTTCGATGTTCTATCTGTGCTATAAATCGGAGCTCAGTCGGATCTGTGCTCCGTATTTGGCAACAAGGTGAAAAAAGAGGGGGGTAACCTTAAATCTTTTTCCAGATAAAGTTCTGTGCAGAAGCAAGCAGTATGTTTTTTTTTGGTTGACTTCCTCTTTCGATTAAATTAGCTGCATTTCTCAAAATTTATAGATTCCGTTAACGTAATATCAGAATAAAGTTGTTATCATCCACTCTGAAAGATGACCTGTACAATTATTATCTTGGCACCAGTTTTATTTTCAGTAGTATTTGTTATACATACAATATTTTTCCTCATAAAATTGATTAAAAGCAATAGATCGCCATATGGACAGTCCGATGGTAGTATACAGCTGAGTTCGGGAGAAATTGTTTGCTGCATGGGATACGTATGGACCAGTTGTGTGGACCAACATACTCAACGAATGTCAAGATCAAACTTTATAACATGGTATGTTGTAGTTGTCGTACTAGACGTAGCATTGACTGCTGCAGTATGTGGAATATTCTACTCATTGGGATCAATTAGAGAACAATGTCGGTTTGGATAACAACCATAAAAATTAACGAACCGCTACGTGAAAATTTTCGAAATAAATGCTTCACAGTAAAATATTAACAAAGTTATACTATCTACTTGTTAATAGAATATTTTTCCTTACTCTTTCAATACACTTTTTAAAAAAAAGACAGAAACTTGTGATTTTTATCAGTGCTTAATTGAGCTATTTTCGTTCGAACCTTATTCAAAAAGCAGACAAAGACATTATATTTTGAAATACATAATAAGAAAATATTTTATGTTGTTGATAACTAATCTTCAATAATCTAACCTAAATATCGTTCGGAGAGTATCTGGCAAAGTTGAACTTGAGCTAGTAGGATGGCAAAAAATCAGTCAGCAAAACAAAGTCATGAAACATGTGAATCAAGATTTTCTGGGCTTTCAGGACACGTTAAATTTGTCTAATTTTGCTGGCCATGTGTGAACCTTATGTTGAAGTTTATGCTTCTCAATCCAGATTTGTTCTCAATCGTTTTCTATTTGAACAATAGTATAGAGGTAAACATGATACCATGAATATAATACCGGCAATATCTGCTATACTGTGTACCTACGTATCCGTTTGTGTCTAAAAGAACGCGTATGAACGCCGCACATGCTTCATTTTTAAGCGGTTACGCGTTTGGCTTGAAAACGAGTTTTTTAGATTAGAAATTGTTACATGCGTAGTATGTACACACGAGTAGTATATCTCACCCATCAATGATATACCAGTTGTGATAACTGTTCAAAAATTATGACTTTCTTTTGTGTGAATGGCCAAATATGAAACAATAGTCGCTGTGATTATACACAATAGACGTTCATGCTTGAACGAGTGTAAGGTGAATTTTATAATATTTCTTTTACTGTGTAAAGTTGTATATACTCAAGGCCGCGAAACATAACCGTGATTATCTTTCAAACAAACTGACGCGAAATACTGACGATAAATAAAATATGACAACATAAGTTTAGCATATTTAATGACATAACTATCCACACGTTAGTCGTGTGAAAAAATGTGCGTGAATCTAATCGTTTACGTGGGAAAACACTAGAATAACTATAGTTATTTCTCAAACAATTCTTAACTGTCGAAAAATAGAATGCATTCATTACACAGGTTAAATTTGTTGATTCAACAATATCGTTGTACTATTTATTGAACACAAAATAATTATATGTATGCAAGGTTCAAACTTATCTCGATTTAGAATTTATTAAAAATACTGTCTTTTCTATATCATCGGAAACGATATTTACTTAAAACTACTTCCATTAAATGAAATTTGTTAACATTTAAGGAAAATACGAATATTCACTGCCTATGTTTCTACTTCTAATTTGATAGTTTGATAGAACAATCAACAATAAACCATTACATAATAAAACTATCGAACAGCCTTCAATGGCAACAATGTTAAAAAACAATGATGAATATGATTTATTTTAAGCAAAATTTCTTACATTTGCGAATACTAATGATCAATCGACAAGTGTTAATAATATTGTACAAGGACAACTACCAACAATATCATTATTAACTGAGGACGACGATGAACAATTTACACTAGCTGATGCTGCTATGAAAGATGAAGAAGAAAATAGAAAGGAAATGTTTCACGTAATGAAGAATATCTGTTGACCTATAATCATTGATTGTTGACTAATCTCATTGGCATATAATACTAAATGAAAGATGTCAATCAGGTGATAATTTTCACTGATCAAAATTATTAAACGTTGTTAGCGAATTTATCTAATACAGATTTAATCAAGATTTGTAAGTCTGTTTGTGTTATGTAAAACCTTGTCAATTTTCAAAATACTTTTTAGTTACATAATATGAGTGATATGCATGCAACGAAGATAAAGTTCAATTTAATGCATAGTATAATAATATTTTGTTACGTTTGATGTTTCCATTTAGAACGATTAAAAAATGGTTGTACTCATTTGAAAAAGTAACGACCAAAAGAAAAGAGCCACACTCTCTGGTTGCACTCTCCCACTTTTTTTTTCATCACCACATCTCTGGTGAAGTACTATGTAGGTTAGAAAACCGATCAAATTGATAACAGGTTGCTCAGAAATGCCCTTAATTTATACTAAATAATCTTTTTTATTATTCATTTCAAGGTTGATCAGTCGTTCGTTCGTTTCAGAAATACCATCTCGTGATGAAATATCACAACACTTCAAATTTTAACCAGTGTTACATATGTAAAATCTGATTCGATAATTAAAGGTGATACAGCAGTGAACGATGGAAGTACTATCATAACTATATAATCTCTTTTATTGGATGTTCGTAACAATTGAAAACGTTTATTCTGAAGAAAAATTCAAATAATTTTATTATTATCTAATCAATAACTTTTTTACAAAATATACATTTAAATATTATTCTTTGCTTCCATTATGTTTCCTTACGAATATTCATTATATGGCTATTATTATGATTATGGATTTTAATGAACTTAAGTCGAATTACATGAATTTTTAAAGTCTATTGAAGTCCAAAGTTCATTGAACTTCACAAGTCTATTAAAGTCTTCAACAGTCACAAAAGACCACGTAGTCTCTTAAAAGTTCGCTTACAGAAAAAATCTTTTAATCTAATTTTTATCTAAAATCCACTTATAGATAAAAGCTTACGTAGATTCTGGACTTTTAAGAACTTATGTGAATTTAGATGGACTTTAAAAATCCATAATTGAGACTTAAGTCTGTTTTCTCTCCCTTGAATTTTACTGTATTCTAATTAGTTTGACTAAATCAAGCCGATGCTATTAGCCTTACATATTTCATTGAGCAGATTTGTATCCAACTAGAGATCTTGAGTAGAATGTCTAATCTGGTCAATGTGTATGTAGTACAAGGTCAATTGTAATTTTCAATATGGTAAAAGATAAGCTGAATACGAAAATTGTTTGTGAACTTTTTTGTTTATTAATGTCATACATATTCTCTTATATTCAAATTTAAATTCATGCATTTCTTTTCTCTGTTTTCAATCGTTTATTGTTCAATATGATAAGAAATCATAGTGTTGATCACTTATCTATTAAATACTAGTTTCTTCGTCAGAAAATATACTCTTAAATTCAGTAGTATATTTAACATTTTTATTTATTTATACTACAAAATTATAAGCACAAATCTTGACAAAGCTAATTTGAATTCATTTTTTTTCTACGAAAGAAAACTAAAGTAATTGGATAAGAATCACTAAAAGTTATCTAAAACGACTGAACGATAGTATTCAAAAAGCATTGAAAAAAGTATTCATTTATCGATTATTAATAATATAATCTTTCTTTTGATTGACAGAAGTTCTTGATTAGAATATAAAACTAAATTATATGTTCTCTCCTCAATAACATTCCGTCGTCATACAGTCTTTGGTTATCAATTCTATCTGACAATCTGCTTTTCTAACACCGTACGTACTCTCAAATATACACATTGTTATCATATTGGAAGGCATATATGATAAAATCTTATCAATACTATAGACAAGACGGTAAAAAAAAACCAGGAGCTACAAAAAAAATTTTCATATCTTTTTTTTATTTTTATATATATACCGTTCAAACTTTGATCCTTTGTATATTTTATCATCATGGTCACAATTAGATTCAGTCTCACATTCTTTTATTTTATTGAACATATATTCATGATTGGATCGCAATGGTAAAAGGTTATGAGAACAATTTTTATGTCATGTCTGTAGGTATTACAACCTTATCATATTCTTCATCTTTCTTTCTCAATGCAGTTTTGGATTTATTCGAAACATGTCTGTGGATTACAACCTCGCTTATGATAAATTAAATCTAGAGAGAGAGCGAGAGAGAGAGAGAGAGAGAGAGAGAGAAAGAGAGAAAAGAACAAAAATAGATCTGGTAGCAGCAATAAAACAAAAAAAAATTCTAATAGGTGTATAACTCAGATACCATGCAGCTATTGTTAGTAAACCTTATCCTTTTTTCAGTTATACATTCATGGATAAGAGGTGGAGGAAAAAAATACAAAATAGGATATTATCTATATGTGTTGATTATCGAATAAGAATGTATAGAGAAAATAAAATGTCACTGGAAATCTCAAAGAAAGCAGTACCATGGAGAAGAAAAGAAAAAATAATGATGATTAATGAGCAAAAATTAGAATATCTGGCAAGAAAAAAAAGAAGATCTATAATCAAAACGACATACATTCTGAAATATCATAATCATATAATACCGGAACAAATATCAATTTCATTAACAGACAGACTTTCATCATTCTTCTGTTTGTCACATTATTAGACAAAACTAAACGATGCAAATATTTTTATTAATTTTAATTTTTGGTCAAATATTATTTTTGGTTCAGGTGAGTTGAAAACAAATGAATTTTTTAAATGTAATACTAGTAAATGCTAGAGTTCTATCAAAATTGTTCTAGATTTGAAAGTCTAGATCTAGATCTATAAAATCTGTTAGTTTAAAAGTTAGAGATGCTTATAAACTAGACAAAACGTGGAGATAGATTCTCACTAACATACACACTTTGTAGAATTTACCAAAAATTATTTCAGATTCATGTTCGTGCCTTCAGTACACGCCTAAAAAATCTAAATACACATGCTTTAGTGGACACACAATTGTATATATCAGCGGACATTTTTAAAACAAGATAGAATACAGTAGAAGTAAAAACAATAAACGTAAACAAAATTGTTTCCTAGATAAAAGTGTATGATCTGATATTTTATTATTTAATAGAGTTTTCAATTTCATACATAATAGTATTTCAATATTCTTTGAGCTATTCAATTGGCTTTAAGATAGATAAATTTAGTTTTCAAATGATATTTCTTATCGTAGTAAAATATCTGCATCGATTTTTCGAGCACGGTATTGAGTTAATTTAAATTTGTTGAATATTGTTCGTATAAATCAATGTAATCTATTAATTTTACAATCAGTCATCTCTGTCAATTAGATCAGAGGTGTAAATACTGTAATGAGTTAAAAATTTTCTTTTATTAGAAATCCTTTTTGTGTTTTTTTTTTACTCACTGAGAGATGTAACAACATCTTGATAAACCAGTAAAAAATGTAAAGCGCACACTATTGACAGCTGGAATGCTCTAAGTAAACTTGGCATTTCATTTTCATCCAGACATTTGATGTGTGATTTTGTTTTTCTATTGTCCACATGACAATTAAATAACAACGTTAACGAGATAACTACTCATAATGTCCATTTGTGGACAGGGTATAGGGTCGACAAAAAGTCATTATATCTGAATACTCGAATCCGTGATGATTTATTTACTGTCTAAACTAAAGAAAAATCGTTGGAAAGTGTTAATATAAATCTATCATTTCATTGAAAATTCTAGAATACTTTCTATCACTTAGTCTAGATCAAATTTATGAAACATTGATGTATGCTTGAATTTAACAGTATGTTTAATGCGTTTACCATGTCAGTTCCTTATAATAGTATCATAATATATATGTTGACAACGTTTGTCAAATTTTGTTTTGTACAATGTTAGTATCCAGGTTATTTTATCCTTATGTCTGTATTATTATCACATATTAAGAAATGGATTTTACATCTGTGTATTGACTTTTAACTAGATTATACTAACGCCAACAGGTTTTATTATCAATAAAACGGATAACAGTGTCGTATTTGTTTGTGTTTTTTGTAGCCTTGAGACGTCAATGACATTGTCTAATGTATTTTTCTATTGTCGCCTCGATTGCAGAATATAATTATCACGATTCTATTCCTTCTAGGTAATGTTTGCAGATCTATTTCTCTTCATGATATGGAAAATGTGAAGGAATTTGCCCTTAAAAGGTTTTGATAGCGCTTATGCGCTTTGATTATATTGATAATAACATGAATTCAGTTATCCGCAATGCTAGTTCTTATTCTTGAATGGTTATATTTAGAGATGTTAGTTATATTTAGAGATGTTAATAATACTTGAAATTTGATGAGATTTAGACATATTTTAGAGTATAATTGTTCTGATGTTGCTCATAATACGTTTTTTTACTAAACTATAGATTAAAGAATTTAACAGGCACAAATTCGAATATCATTTCGATCCGTTCACAAGTCTGGATAACGATTTTAGATTCAGAAATTATCTCTTTCAATATAAAATCTATAGTTTAAAACTTCTCCACCACTTTTATTACCATTTGTGTTGAAAATAGGACATATAGAAGAGATGCTGGTGAATGATTATGAAATAATTGATATACTTCGATTTATAGTTTGTTTACGTTATCTGTGTGGGTGTGCGTGTCATCAATTTTCTACATCAGAAATGAACAGTTATCATTTCTATATACTAAAGTAGAATTATATTCTCATTTTATTATTATTTTTTATCCGGAAAGAATGCTACTAGTTATAATTATAGAAAATATATTATATAACTCCCATGATACATTTACAACTTCAAGTATATTTTAATTTCCACTATTTATAAGATAATAATAATGTAAAGACAATGGCAACGAGTATCGTTCATTTATCAGAATATGCAAATTTAAAACAGTTTGTTGACAATAAGATTGTCATAAAACAAAAAACCTTGTAACCACGATAATTTCAATAACAGCTAGAATAGATCAACAGTATTCACTCTAGAATGGTCAAAAATACTACAGTGTTTTGTTTATACATATAATGATGATTTATATGTTATCTGTTACACTTAATATACATATATATATGTATATGGACTTGTAATCATCACTTAAAAATAACATTTCAATTACCTAACTATTTATTATGTAAAAGAAAACTGATAGACGATGACTTTATTTGGCAATGAAACATTATTCGAGAGAGATATTAGAACACAACTATTTATCTTTAACACATAGTATTATTCTATCTATGACAAGATTCATGATAAACTGTTGTTACTATCTCATCAAAGACTTCTGTCAAGAATATAAGTTATTCTGGTATTAGTTTCAGTTATTCCGTATAATATTTTATGTAAAGAACTCTTGAGGTAAAATTCTGTTATAAATGATTTATTTTGAAATGGAAAGAATTTTTGAAGTATTTATTGATGAAATGTAAAATTAATCTCTGATAAAAAATAATAACTATTTTCGTTATTTATTTCATTTTTTTTCACATTCTCATAATTAATCAATCTCATTTTCTTCATCCGCTAATAAAAATTTGTGTTTTTTTAAAATTGTCAAGTTGCACTTACGGAATTTTACATTACTTCAAGGTTTCATCAATAAAAGAAAACATTTCCTGCATGTTCCTAACATTTAATATACAATAATAATCATAATAATAATAATCTATATGTAATATTAATTCTCTTTTCCATCGTTTACAAGAGTTCGACGACAAGTAATAATTTTACAACTATCAGAAAAAATAAACGTGTTATGCTTGTATTTATAAGTGGAAATTGATAATATTTTTTGTACACTGTCCTTAATTTACTAGTGATATGTAAATAAGTCGAAAGAGAATGAACAACGGCACAAGATTTTTCTAAAACTAGGCTGAAAGTAGGGCTGTTTTAAAATAAATTTCTGTAATTTTTCATAACAATATTCACTAGTCATGGACCGAGTTTTCTTATAAGTAATGTACTTTACTAGAAATCAGAGAATTTTACGTGAGAAAGCAAGAAGAATTGCGCTGCACATGATATTTGTAATTCTTGGGAGCTTGTACAAAGATGGAACTGACAGACGAATAGAAAGGATGAAATTGGTCGAATGAATCATTATAAAATGCTTGAAAATGTATTTTACAAATTAGAATGAGAAAAATGATTTAGATTTTAGTATCGGTGCTTCAAAACTATTACTTTTATTTTCAGGAAAATTTCTTATGCTGGTCTTAACAACACTAGATTTTTTCGTTCTATTTTACTATTTGAAAAGTAGGAAAAAGTGCTCTTAAAAGTAAGTGCAAAAAGTTCTGTAATATAGAGCGCATGTGAATACCTTTCTTATGTAACAAAAGGATGATGAACGCGTTTGTGAGTATAAACAAAAAAATACGCGTTTTGTTTTTTTCTGTCAATTTTTTTTCTTCACATCCTAACGTCCATTTCTTGTACTAAAAAAACAAGCAAAAATCTGTTCAAATACATCAACGTGTTCAAACATACATCTCAGAATCACAAGCGAAAACATAACAACAAAAACGCATTAAAAAATCGTTTTTTTTACATAAAAATGTGTTTTAAATACTAAACAACAGAAAAAACAAGAATATATTTTGAAATATGTCTTTTTTGTACATTTTCCGTTTTGAAATTTACATATTTCGAGGTATACTTTCGAAAAACAGAAATAAATGCGTTTTTCTTTTTCGTGTCAAATTTTTAACGCGTTTATTTCCAATTTTTTATTATAAAAGGATTGAACGTGTTTTAAATTTTATTTCGACTGAATTACGTTAATGAACAATATCTATTCTGAAACGAAATTATGAAGAAAATCGGATTATCGTACTGTTTGTTTGAGAATGGGAAATAAAAAAACTGATTCTGTAAATATCCAATATTTTTACGCTACAAATATTGATATGAATGCATGTGTATCCAATGTATCTTGATATTTATTTTCTAGGCTGACACGGATGTCAAAATAGCTGACAGTGTTGTAGTACCAAGTGAAGAAGAAGTAAAAGAAGAAAAAAATTTATTTAATAGTGGAAATGATAAACTTATCAATGATTTTCAAGGTGAAATATTTAATGAATATTGAAAAAAAGACTATATTTATCTATCTGATATTCTTTAGATCGTTGTTCAAGTTTAAAATGTCAAGATGGTGAAATGTGTGTATTAAATAAAGATGGTGATGCCGAATGTGCATGTATAAGTGAATGTGAAGATCCAAAAGATGAGAGACTCATGGTATTGATTATAATTCCAAAGTATAGATATTTTCTTAAATTTTTCTTGTTTTTTTTTCTTCTTTTTAATAGATTTGCACAGTAGGAAATCAGACATATATATCCGATTGTGAATTTCTTCAAATGCAATGTTTATGTCGAAAAAATGATAAACGTTGTACAAGACGTGATGCTATTCAAGATAAAATTGATTATTTTGGAAAATGTCAAGATCTTGGTGTTTGTACAAATCATGAATTAGAAGTATTTCCAAAACGTATGACAACATGGTTAGGAGAAATTTTAGATGCTTTGGTAAAATAATCTAATTTTTTACTAAATTTTTTCATTTTATTATTATTTATTTTATTTTTATTTTTTTTTTCTAGTTTACTCGAAAAAATCTTGATACAAAATATCAGACATTAGTTACAGAAGCAAGAAAAATGAAATTATCAAATACGGAAAAATGGTGGAGAAATGCTGTTTTATGGGAATTTTGTGAACTTGATCGAACACATGATAAGTAATTATAAATTTATTTTTATTATTTTTTGAAATTATTTATAACTAACTGTATTTTATAATTTAGTGCCGTAAATAACGAAGAATTAGGACGATTTATTGCATCATTAAAAGCTTTAGAACATTGTATTCAACCATTTTTAGATGAATGTGATACAAATGATGATAAAAAAATTTCATCAACAGAATGGGGCACATGTTTAGGTCTTGATAAAGGTAAATAATTTTAAAATAGACATATAGATCAATTTAAAAAATAATTATTTTCTTTATATATATATATATATATATTTTTTTTTTTAGATGATATGGATTTTCTTAAAACATTTTGTTCACATTAAAAAATAAATTAATATTATTCAAACATTTAATAAATCTTATATAAAAAAGTGAAATGAACAGTATTTATTTTAAACTCTTTTCTTTTTTTTATTCTTTTTTTTAACGTATGGATTATTTTAATATTTCTATTATCTAAATAAAAACATGCATAAACTTTATCTTTATTTTATACAACAGTTACTCGAAATTCTTCTTCTGTATATTCTTCTGAATCATTATCTTCGTTATCAGTAGTCTCTCTAATTACATTTACATTTGAATATATCTGACTTTTGTTTGGTGATGATGATGATGAAGAAAGATGAGAAAATTTTCTTTCTTCTTGTTTTATTAAATTATCGTCTTGAATCATATTATTTTCAATTATGAGACTAGTTGCACGTTCACGTCCATTATCAATATAATCACATTTTGATTGACGTTTGCGTACAGATGTCAATATTTTCATTTCATGTGAATTTTCCATAGGTTTTTGTTGTTGTTGTTGTTGTTGTTGTTCGAAACGTTTCTTTACTAATAATTGTTGAAAAAAATTTGTTGCTGCTGTTGCAGGTGCAGGTAAATCAATTGAATTTATTTGTATTTTTTTTGTTTCATTAGGAATAAATTCGCTAGATGTTAAATTTTCAATGGCTAAAAATTTATATGCATCTTCATCTGTCATTACATCACATTCACCTGTACCCGAAATAAGTGATTGTACACGATAAGGAACTTCCATTAATTGTATTCGACGTCTTTGTCTTCGTTTTTCACGATAATGACGTCTTACCTATATAAAAAAAAAAGATTTTTTTATCTAAAATAGCATCTATTATTAATAGTTAATGAAGAAAAAAATACGTACTTCATCATTGAATAAAAAAAATGATAAAAATAAAAAAATACCCTAAAAATAGACGATCTTTTTGAATTAATTACTGTTTTTTTTCTTGAATATTTCTATTAATAAATACCTGAAGTGAAGTAAAAAAACAATATAATATTTTAATAATTGGTTCATTATGAGTAAATGATAATATTGCAAATGTCCAGCTAAGTGTAATTAAAAATAATTGTGTCCAAATTCCTCCCGTATATGTTCTAAAATAGTTTAAATAAAATTCATTATGAATTTGTCTATTTTTTTTTTTCGATTAAAAACTTACCCAATTGCTTTATTTGCTTTTTCATTTTTTGTATACGCACTTTCATGTTGTTGTTTAGCAGCAAATATCATCACCATGATCGTAATCTAAGAATAAAAATAAGATATATTAAAAATAACAAACTGTTGATTTTATGCTTGTCAGTATTGTAACGGGGGAAAAAAACTAATAAAAAATGTTAAATTTGTTTTCCCTTACGAATGTAATAGCTGCAACTGGAACCATATAAATCCATACCCAATCATCAATATTGATAAAACACAACATTGTCTTTGTTGGCATTAGATAAGCTGATTTTTTTGTTAACCATAATAAAATGATAATTCCCAATGGTATTCCTATAAAATAATTGATACTATCAAGTTTTCAAAACTATATTATTATGATATTTACCATAACCCATTGTAAGAAATCGCCATATTGAACTTTCAGCATCTAATGCTGCATTAGCTCCAGCTGCTTGATGAGTCGTATATGTAATTTGAATATATAAATTAAATGCTTCATTCATTACCCAAGAGTAAGCAGTTAGAATGAAATAATGAGATAGTGCTCCTATTAATTGACACATAAACTAAAAATAGAATATATTATGGTAAATTTTATAATTTTGTTTTAATAATTTTTATTCTATACTTGATTTTTTACACCATTTACAGATACTATCATTGAACATTGAGATAGACAAACACATAATGCAAGTTGTTTATGGACATAAGCTGCCGAAGAATGAACTCTAGAACAATATTTGGAAACTATTCATATTATATATATATGACAAATATGTGTAACAGGGATGGACGAGTCCCGAGTCTATTTCGAGTCCGGTAATCTTTTAGATATTTTTTGGATGAGGGTGATTTATTTCTCTTTTTTAATTTACTGAGCTCTGAAGAGATATTTGATTTTTCGAAAATAAGGCTACTTTGCATGTCCATCTCCTGAACAAAATTTTCAATTTCTTGTGAAACAGAAGATATTATTATTTCGCTTTTCATTTTTTCTCTATTCATTTATGTTAAAAGATGAATAGATCGGACTCGAAATATAAAAACTCAGTTTCGAGTTCGAGTTCTTCAAAAATATCTCCAGTTCGAGTTCAAGTCCGAGTCCATCAAAAAATCTTCCAATCTGGACTCGGACTCTCTCCCATACCTGATGTGTAACTTTAAATACCTGAGGTAATTTAACATAACTAAAGTAAATGTACTAAAAGACATTAACACTACAGAGCCAAGATAAGAAAATAATCCAAATGGCCAAATTCGTTGAAATGGTTGACGCCACTAGAATAAAAATAAATTATTTTAATTCAATAAGAAATAGAAATATTATTTAATAATAATATACTCACATTTGGATCAAACATATCACTTGTAACAACAAATGTTCCATTAGAAATTGCACAAATACATGTAATATGAGGATAATTTATTGTTATTTTATCATGTACACCACCAGCAGCTAAATTGCAAAAAGAACTTTGCCATTCCCATTGACGAAATAGTGACGATCTTTAAAAAAATAAAACATTTCACTTATATATATATATATATTATTTTTTTTTTCAAATAGTTTAATAATCTGTAACTACCGTAAGTGATTCTTACTTATACACACCGAGTAGTTGTTTGAGATGAAAGTGTCATATTCAAATTATTACAACGATTTCCCGATATATTATCGTACTAAAGAAATAATAAAATAAATTGTAAAACAAAAAAAAATAATTAATTAAAAAAAAAGAGAACAAATAGATTTTATACTTTTATAAAACCAAATTGTATTAGTATTGGTAAATTTTCAACAGATAATAATGGTGTCAAAATTGAACGATATAATTTTCGTTTTTTAACATCAATTGAAACCATATGACTATTTATATTATCAAATTTTGATACTCTACAATTAATAGAGATTGCTATAGAAATTGAAATTTAATAAATCTAAATATTATTAATTTACCTTCCTAATCGAAGATTTGGAATATAAATATGTGCCGTACGAAATGTTGTAATCGTAACAATATATATGGAATCTATAAAAATAAATATCATTTATTAAATAAATTTTATAATTTAATAATTCTTTTATATATTATACTCACTATTATCATCTGGAAATAAATTTGTTATATTCATATTGATAAATGGATATTTTAAATGAAATACTTTATCATCATTTAATTGATGTTTAGATTTTGTCATTGTTGTTGGTGATATTGTTGGTAATGGAAAAGTTATTTTTATTTTTGTTTCATTATTTAAATATATAAATGTTTTAAGCTCATTTAATGTCATTATTTTTATTGTTTGATTTAAATTTTTTGTCGTAATATTAAATGTGGGTGTAGAAAAACCTAATGATAATGAATTGGATATTGTTGTATTATTAACAATCATTTGTATGACAATTGTTGTAAGATGTTGTAATGATGTTAAAACACGAATAAATTCATTTCCTAATGGATATGTTTCATCCCACAATGTTTTATATTCATCATCAAGTATATTTGATATTGTATAAGCCAAATGCTTAATGATAATAATTTGTATGAGTTAATAATATATAGATTAAAATATAACAATCTACCTGATGAATTTCTAATGTTTTATCAATATCGGCTCTGAAAAGTTTTTCATATGATGATGCATACCATTCAAGATAACTTGAAAATTGACTAGTCTATAGAAAGATAAATAGAAATAGTAATTGAATTTACTTTGTCATAGAATTAAATGAAAATAGTTTACCAATGAATTCGTTAAATATTCAATACGATCAATAAGCAATGTTAAATCAACTGAACTATAAAAATTTGCTATTGTTAAATTGAATCCTGTTATTTCAGAAACAAATCGACTTTTTTCTAATATATTTTGAACTTTATGATTTCGAACAAAATCTCGATCAGGTGAAAGCTAAAATACATTAAAAAATAAAAAAAAATAAGACAATAAATTTATAAAATATAATAAAATATTAATTATAGTCTACCTGTTCATAAATATTCATAATAAATGGTGAAGCACATGTAGAATAATCTACTTTATCCCATATACCAATTGTTTCCATTTTTTGACATGTTCTATTAATTGTTCCTTAAATAATTAAATAACTATAATATCAAATAAATATTTTAAATCATGTTTTTGTTTATACCATTTGTTCGTCCTCCAGGACATTTTTGAGATATCATTTCACCAGCTTTGACTTTATGCCAAATTACATTTTTATCTGTTTCATTTTTACAATGAGGACCTATGAAAAAAAGAAAAATACATATTAAAAACATAAATTTTCTTTTTAGTATTTATTTTTCTACCTTCAGCTGTTCGACAATGATTTCCACATGCATTATTTAACCATATTTGATCGGGACAATTTTCTATTCAAAAACAATAATATAAAAAATAAATATACATATAATGATTAATAGTTTATTACAATGATATGACTTTGACTCACCAATAAAATCTCTAATACCAGATGGCCATTCAATTTGTACTCTTCCTTTAATATCCTTAAAAAATTCCATCCATGCTATAAAATTACCACAATATTTAAAATAACAATCTCTATGAATTTTTTTCACTTCTAATGCTGAAAAAGCACGTGTCCACACGTTGAGAAATGTTAATTCGCCTTAAAAAGAAAATTGAATTAAATCTTATCATTCGTTCTTTAGTTTTTTTTATTATACAATATGTGTACCTTGAAACGCCATTGATTGTTCAAATTCAGGATCATAACCACTTGTTAACGCATATTGTCCAACAAAAACATCGCCACTAGTTTCCAATGATTTCGTATTTACAGCTATTGTATTTCTTTCATATGTTGAAATAATATTTGAGTTTGGAAAGAGTGTTGCATTAAAGTAGATGGTAATGTCGCCTACAATAAAACAAAGGTAAATTGAAACCTCAATTAAATGAGACAATTTTTGTATCTCAATTTGTTTTGCTACTGATAAATAGTTTGAAACATTTATTCTAGGCTTAAAAGATACTACGGCGACAGTGTTTCAGCATACACAAAAATGCGAAAGGTTAGAATATTTTTTCCTGCAATCACGAGACGATGAAGAATGTTACGAGGCTAGACTCGACTTTTAACCCTAGTGAGAAACAGAGCCCTGCAGGTTAAACCTACCCTAATCTAATCTATAGGTTAGGCTTAGGTTGCAAAAGTTATAGGTTAGGTTGTAGGTTATGTTTTAATTTTTTTCAGTTTCTTTCTACTGTTGCGCGAGGGAATTTTTTTTCTGATTTTGGGGCATCGACGCCCTAATTCCTTGAAAGGCAATAAACTCAGTGACATACATGTTTACTTTTGTTAAATATGCGTGTAACGTTCGATGGGTTGAAAACAAAAATCACAGGATAGGTTAGGTTAGGATTAGGTTGTGAAATTTTGTATAAGTTAGGTTATAGGTTGCCAAAAAGTGGCACCCTGCAGCGCTCTGGTGAGAAACTACTTGAAACTTACTCAGACCTTAGTAAGATTTGGCTTACATTTGTCTTAGACAAAACTTACTAAGATTATATGACCCAAAAATTCGAAGCGTTGATAAGACTTTGCTAAGATCTCACTAAGATTATACTGTCTAAGATCTTTTCAAGATTGGGTAAGAATGTGGACTTTAACCAGCACGTACAATCTCTGAAAAGTTGTTGAACATTTTCGAGAGAGCAAGTGCTAGCAGAGTCACAGATGCGAGAAGGTACAAAGTTTGTCCCGAGGTGTTTTTAGCTATAAAAAAGTTATACTGATGGTTGACTGAATACGTTTTCTAGTTTTATACTCCCTTCAGTCGTTTTGTAAGGTATAAGTCGTAACCAATAATAGTTTGACTATATATATGTTACAGTACAAATGTAAGCATTTTTTTGACACAGACACACTCACAAAGTTATGTCTGTGCTCGTGATTGGGGCACAGTGAGCATTCAGGCGGAAATTTGAGCAAAAATCGACAAGTGAGCTTTTTTGAATTTGAACAGTAGTAAATGTAGTCCTTGAAAAGCGCTATTAAATGGTATATAATGATCGACTAGTAATGAACTCCTTCGATGAGTAAGTTAACTTACGAACATTCACAAAAAACACCGTCAGATATGATACATCTGCAAAGATTCTTATTTCTATATACAGACGTGCAATATTACCCTATCCAAAGCACATCTTCGGAATCAGCACAACCTATTGCATCTCCTAATAATAGAAGGTACTCCTTTTGCATCTTGTACGAAACGAAAGAAGGTCTAGTAGTCTAGATTACTACGGTCCGACATGAGACAACCTCAGTGCAATGATAGAGCTAAAAGGCGCTAAGCCTGAACAGACCTTCTAATTACATGAAAATGTTCCTCAGCCTATCGTGTATTTATGATGATCTCGTCTTTTCTCGTCTTTTTTTCTGAGTCGAGTTATTGACTTTACAAAAACCCATAGAGTTTTCGAGGTAAAAAATTCGCGTTTTTCTCCCCCATAAGAGCACTTTTTCCATAATATAAAGTCATATTCGGAATCACCATGAAAAACTACGTCGAATGATGTATAGTTTGTTAGTTTTACAAATAGAACATTTTTTGACAAAAATTCAGGGCAAGGGTCCCCTAAGGAACTTTTTGTCAAAAAAAGTTTTTTTCCAATTCGACCTTTTTTACTTCTGCTAATATCTGACACATAGTAAGACCATATTATGCTAAAATAATCATTTTCTAACTCAAAAAATCAGATGTCCGCCTGCTCTATGGGAAAATGCCCACTGTGTGGGGAAGGGGAAGAGCTGGGTGAGAACTAGTTTGAAAAATATTTCCATTCGAGAGAGTAAAAGAAAAAGACTGACAGATATAAAAGTACGAAAGTATAATAAGAATAATAAGCTAAATTGAAAGCGTGTAGCCTCGTATGTAAACTGCCCAAAAAAACTCGGTCTGCAAAAATCTTTGCAGAATCTGTAAAGATTCTGCAATCTGCAGTTTTTCTGCAATGCAGATGTGCCAAGATTTGACCAAAGATCTGATGCAGATCTGCAATAAAATCTTTACAGTTTCTTTGCAGTTTCTCTGCAGATTCTTTGCAGAAA